GTTAATCAAAAACAGATTTTCAAACGATTCATGTTGAATTTTTAGAAACTATGAGTATTTTTGGAGCAATTGGGCGTCTATGTTAGTTGGCCGCTCTGAAAATACTGGGCTTCTCGGTGGTAATTTTAGGTGTTTTGACGCATGTGGATGTTACATAAATAAGAATGTGTAGAGCATTTCAGTTTTCTTACTTCATATTCCTTGCTAACATTGGAGCTTTTGTTATACATTTACAAATTAATCTTTTAGAAATTATTTAAAACACATTTGAAGTAAATATAAAATAAAGATTGATGGCCTTCAGTTAACCGCTCCTAATTTACGCAGTTGCATGCTACGTAAGTTTTTATTTATTTACGTCAAAAACAGTTACAAACTGTGTGTCGTGCTACGGGGAAAAGTTCGAGGGATTGCTTTTGCTCGAGGGTCAGGGAAACTGGACGAAAACTTGATCGAGATGGGATCATTGACTCAGAAGCTGAAGTACATTGTTACAGGTTCTTTAGAATTATACAATCCAAATGGCAATGAACACATTAAATGTCATTATTAAAATTGATATTACTTTCCTTTCGGATGCTTAGTATAGTTTCTAATTGTTTAAGTTAGAATTAGTTATTATTTCATATGTTATTTTATTATCTATTATATATTTACGTTATTTGATTTTAAATTGCGTCCTTTACTTGTGTTAAATGTGAAAACGAATCGATGAGCGGTCATTGTTGGTTGTTACTCATTGTAACGCCCACAGGTAACAATCAAATAAAAAAACAAATACTTTTATATACTTGTAGAATATTACAAAACCATAGTGTTTAATAACGACTATTATGCATTTCTCGGTCTATTTGTTTTCCAGAGATATCAGTATCGTATTATTAATTAACTTTTAAATGTTTTACTTTCTTTCATTCTGCTTATTTTTCGCACCAAATTTTCGAAGGTTTTAAAATGAGTTTCACAAAAACTAATTCGGAGAGAAATCGTGGTTGAAGTAGTATTACATAGCCGTTAATAATGGCGAGAAAGTACGTGCTGTTTTTAACTATTTTTTATTATTATTTATATGTGAAAACTTTCATTGGGGTTAGGCGCTGTCTCGAATGCTTTTGGATACTGACATACAATGTAGAACATAAATACTGACAGACTTTGACATGCAGAAAGTAAATTAAAAACATTGTTGTGAACTTAAACCTTGAAAAAAGTCTCAAAAGGAAGTAGTTATTGGGAAATTTTTATTCTGAGGAAGCAAGTTACCGAGCTTGCGTGTTCGGAGGATTGTATCTCCTTTCCCGAAAGTTGATATTTTTGATACTAAATTGACCCTTTCTCAGCTTACATGCGTAGTAGGAAACTAAAATTTTGAGTTGTTAACAAACGTCTCCTACATTTACTGATACAATGGTTATCTGATTACCTTATTATTATTCATTATGTAAAACTTTATTTTCTAGAATACGCAGTAAAAAAATGCATATATCTGTAAACTGTGAACGTTCAATGGGCCCAACTTTAATAGCTTCTGAGAATTGGAATGAAACATTTAATATTGCCAGGATAGGGAATTCCGTGTCACTTTAAATTTATCTTAACATTTGAACGAGTAGAACTGTTTTAAATCCGCAGCCGGAAGGGAAATCGCATATTCACTAATCTGGGCAGTACAGATTTTGATTTTAGGTGCGTCAACTGCTATGGATGTTAGTCCCGATAGCGTATTTCTGTGATCATTATCTGTGTGTGGGTTCTGTTGCCTGCTGTGATCATTAGTCCTGAAAGTGTATGTTAAATCTTAAAAGTTAGCGGTGTTTCATCCCGACTTCTAACGCGAGGTCCTGTGCCGACCACAGACACCCGTCCGCCATCCGCCCTAACCGGAATTAACTCCTAATAATATAATGACTTTATCTTTTGTGTACAGTTTTGGGAGTGGGGGCCCAAAACTAGATATTAAACCTTATCTTATACTTAAACTACTATTTACATTTTACATCATTTGTTTACGTTATTTACACACACTTGCATTTACAATCTAAACTTACAGATTGACACTGAAGTTTTTCTAATTTGCCAGTCAAACTTGCACTGGCCTTTGAGAGTGCCAGTTACTGTTTTTTTCCCGCGCGCGCGCAGACTCGTCTGATGACTGCTCGTCGGGGCTCCGATGTCGATGTGTTCAAAACATCGATGTATTTTTTACACATTTTTTTCTTTTCTGATGTTTTGCTTCTGAATGAAAAATCCCCGTGATAATACTATGAAACAATAACTGATAGTAACACTTTCTGAACCAACCTGTGTTGCAACCAAAGGAACGCTGTTTGAACTACCTTCATTGACCCAATTCTCTCGCCCGAGATGACCTCCATGCCCTTGTATTTCCTCTTTCTTCATATGCATTTCGCACATTGTGATATCGTCGACGAATGTACTGTGGACGTAGGGTTTGCCCCTTCTGGTACCCTTATAGGGCGAATTGATAAACACGAATGTTACGTTTTTATTATTAATTTTAAATTATGTTTTAATGTTGCACGACTTTAATGTTAAAGGTTACTAATCCGGTTTAAAAATATCTCTGTTAAAAAGAATCGTTTTCAGTCGCTGTAATTTTAACATTGATTTTGAACATCGATGTCGCATCACTAGCCTGTAGCCGAATTGTTTATGTACTGCTCCGGCATTCACCGGTTATTGATCAAAAGTCACGGGAAACAATGCGGTATTGGATTTATAAAAGAAACCTCTGAACAAAAGCTTTGGCGCCGGCCTGGATAGCTGAGGTCGCTAAGGCAGAAGGATCACGGTTTGAAGGATCGCGGTTTCGAATCCCGCCTCGGGTTACTATGTTTGTTCGTGTTGTTCTTACGTGTTCTCCCTAGTTAAATAATACCAATGGTCGCTACATAACTATGTTGTTAAAAAGCAACCGAAAAAAGTATTTTTTTAAAGTGAAGGAGAAAGAAAAGCTTTAAAATATTAGTTCCCAACGGGGTTGGTAGAAGCCCCCAGGAAGGTCGATAGAATTTCAAAGGGAGTCAGTGATGATCAAGGGGTTGAAAGAAAAGTGCGTATTAGCGAGTGATTGATATAATACAGATCCTTTTACTTTCAAAAGAATAAATAAAGTTGATAATTCATTGTTTTATTATATGAAGTCCCAGAAATCTAAAAATACTTGTTCGTAAACATTTAGAATTACACTGTGCTAGATAAGTCTCTCCGCAGTGGCCAGTGAGTGCCGAGAATAGAAATTATGTTGGTAACATGATCTGCTGCTTGTTACAAGTGAAAACGTTAATTGCGTGCTCTCCAAGCTAGAAGTGTTGTCCCATTTGCTCGTTATCCACTGATCTGGGTGCTACGAACACAAATTCCATAAGACCCTCGGATTCAGCTCAGTGTGAATAGACTTTCCTGACACTCGTTATAAATATACAAAGAAAACAATTCTAATAAAGCATTATTTCAAATTTCTTATTCATATTATTTGTCTAATTGCTATCAAGTAATTTATGACCAATTATTTGGGCCATGATTGTGTTGTACGCTGTAGATGAAAAAAAAATCAAGTTGGTCGATGAAGATTCTTTTAAAAGAGGTCGATGTATGAAAAAGGTTGGGAATCTGCTTTCGAACCTGAAATTAGAAGGTAGAAGCAATGCTTTGCTAAGATTCGGTCGATAATTTCGACGTATAATGGACACAAGTGGAACATTTACCAAGCAATGGTTTTGTAGGAAAGTTTTGGGACCGGTAATGCAAACGTACGCACACATGTTTGCAAAATGCAAGAGTCAGGTTGACTCAGGTTACAATGAACTTTTGGGAAATAACATGTTTCTTTCACTGCATCAGAGGTTCACTACATATCCAATGTCAAAGTTAAATGCTTCACAATGATTGATTTTATAAAAACACAGCAAAATTTATTAAGAGCATGAACTGTAAATTTCAATATCTTTATTTGTACGTAAAAAATATTTTCAATTGTTTACTTCGTAGATTTTTCATTAGATCCTTCTCCAGAGTTCGTGCTCTCTCCATACTTGATTCTGCACGGACCTCAAATAATATGTATGTAAAGTATGGTAATGCAGTCTTGATATCTTTCAATGCCTCTTGCAATGTTGGAACACCATCGCACTTTCCGAAGGCCCTTTCAATCTCCTTCAATAGCACACGAGATCCAATTAACTTCCAGAACCTATTTCCTACGTTCACTGTAGGCGAGTTCCAGGTTCACCATTAACGAATTTTCTAATGCTTATTTGTAATGTAAGTGAAACGGGACTAGTGGCAAGTTCACTATATCCGGAATCGACTGTATATTGCTTGCTAAAACTGCAGCGTTAACTGGAGCACTAATTCAGAGTATCGGCGTGATTAGCGAGCTGTGCCTATGCGGTTACTCCATTACATTATATTTAAACGGAAATAAAACATGTCTGTGATGTGTACGTAGTGATATACAAATAGTTGGATTAAATTAAGTACTCATTTATTTTGTCCAATCACTTTATTTATTCTCGTATTACACTTTTCTAACGATACATTCTCTTTTAAATAAAACTAATTTTATTTATTCATGTTACAAAACTATCATCTCGCCTATGGAGCGCCTCCTCTGAATAGCCACGTGTTTATCTAAATGTCCAGTTTTTTGTATTAATCTTACCGGAAACTCTGGACACTTAATATTAATTTTTGCATTTAGTTTATAATGTTCTTTATTGCACGAGTTCGTTTTGGAAACGAGCGACATCATGAGCGAGTTTCCAAAATTTGTACGAATGTAATGAAGCAACATTATAAGCGAGTTGCATACGCTACTTTTTGTATAACAGCATTTTAAATTTATAATATATAATTATTAACTTATTTTTGCGGAACAACTCTTGTGACGTCTTGAGTATTTAACATCTGTGCGAGAAAACTGTGGTCAGCAGTTCCGTTTACCTCAATCTCCCCGCAATTCTCGTGACTGGCTGAATGTGTGATGACGCAATCAATGGTGCCGTAAAATGTTAATACGTCACCATTTTTGCCGTAAAATGACCGATTATGAACGATTTCTTGCAACAGAACAAGTAGTTTATAACGCGTCGGCCTCCCCTGTGAGAATACAAAGTGCAAATCAGACCCTTCTCTGTGCAAATCTCTCCGCAATGCAACATGTACGACTCAACTGAGTGAGTCCATGTGTGCGTATTTAAGCCTCCCTATTCAGGGAAACACGGTCTACAGAACATTCAAAAGATTTTCCCCCTGAATGAAGTAGTATGCGAGGCATCAAGAACCCTTCTGGCTGTCGTAACAATCTCGTCTTTCGCTTATGAAACCCGCATGTGCCTGTTCAACGAGTCACATTTGAGAAAGTGATGTGAAAGAGTACTTTCCATTGGTAAGTCTTCTATGCGAGACCGAATGGGAGTTTCTTGAATTTCTACTTTCTCAAAAAGCCTTGAGGTGGACGGGATTTTCAAACTCTCTTTCCCTTGTGAGTCCGCATGTGGGTATTCAAAATTCCTCTGTATGAAAAAGCTTTATGACAAATGGAACACGCAAACGGTCTTTCGCCTGTGTGAGTCCGCATGTGCCTTTTTAAATTGCCTCTTTCTTTGAAACCCTTTTGGCAAACAGAACATTGAAAAGGTACTTCGCCAGTGTGGATCCGCGTGTGCCTATTTAAAGAGGACAAATGTGGGAAGCTCGTCTGACAAACAGAACATTCAAATGGCTTTTCGCCTGTGTGTGTTCGCATGTGCCTATTCAAAGTTGACAAATTTGGTACACTGGTCTGGCAGACAGAACATTCCAATGGTTTACCCCCTGTGAGGGACTTTTTACTGTGAGTTCGCATGTGTATAAGAACCTTTTTCTTTTCTGAAAAACCCTTCTGACAGACAGAACATTTAAATGGTTTTTCGCCTGTGTGTGTCCGCATGTGCGTTTTCAAATTCGCTCTTTCAGTAAATCCCTTCTGGCAAACAGAACAAGTAAATGGTGTTTCGCCGGTATGTGTGCGCATGTGCCTTTTCAAAGATGACATGTGTGAGAAGCTTGACTGACACACAGGACATTCCATAGGTTTTTCCCCTGTGTGGGTACGCATGTGAACCTTTAAAGTTTTTCTTTCTGAATAACTCTTGTGGCACACGGAACATTCAAATGGTTTTTCTCCTGTATGTGTCCGCATGTGTCTCATTAAAGCTACTTTATCTGTACAACCTTTCTGGCAGACAGAACATTCAAACGGCATTTCCCCAGTGTGGAACCGCATGTGAGTATTTAAATGGCCCCTTTGTGAGAAACTTTTCTGGCAGACAGAACATTCAAACGGTCGTTCGCCAGTGTGGATCACCATATGCCTATTCAAAGACGTCAAATACGAAAAGCTTTTCTGGCAGACAGAACATTCCAACGGTTTTTCCCCTGTGTGGATTCGCATGTGCACATTTAGGGAGTTTCTTTCCGCAAATCCCTTCTGGCAGACCGAACATTCAAATGGTCTTTCGCCCGTGTGGGTTCGCATGTGCCTCGTCAACGCGCCCTTATCCACAATGCCCTTGTGGCAGATGGGGCACTCCAAGCGCCGTTCGCCGGCGTGGGCGCGCATGTGCCGCTTCAAGCTGTGCTCGTGCGCGAACGTCGTGTCGCAGAGCGAGCACTGGAAGCGGCTCTCCTCGTCCGCGGCGCTCTCCATGTGGTCCATGTGGCCTATGAGACGCCCCCTGAGCGAATGCTTCTGGCGTTCGCCGATGGGGGGGCTTCTCGCCGGCGAGGGTGCCTCGCTGGAACAGGCTGCTGCGGCGCCTTCTGCAAACGAAATGCACCTTAGACGAGGGAAAAAACTTTAAAAGTTCTCATGTGGATTGCCAAAGAAATGGCCGAAACGTTCGCACTGTAAGAAAACCGCCTTTTAGTGATCTACCTTAACGATTCACTATATTATATTTATAATACGAGGTCAAGATCAACAGAATGATGTGGATTGGCACTGTAGGGTCGAAGTAAATAAATCGGCCGTTGATACATAAACGAAATTCAACAATGGCGATGTATTACGACAAAACAATAACGACCATTGCACGTCAAATCGACTCAAAGCGAAGATCAAGCCTCGAAGGAAGCTACGATAAATATGAATAAAAAAACAGCATTGTTTTACTATTCTGTTTCTTTATTTCACCATTTCCTTTCATAAACATTAAGTACTCTTATCTGAAGTCAAAAGAGTAGGGGTTCCAAATTTGGAGTTTGTCTATGGGCCAGTAATACAATTAACGTCAACATTGTAAAAAAAACTGGCTATTTTGTAGAAGACACCAAACGTATAGTAATCCACTTAAAGTCATCGTCAATGACTGCATTCCTGCAAAATTTACTTTATTCAGGCATGGTAGAAAATCGACTTGTTATTGGAATCGCGAGTTTCCGCAAACGTACTTATCATAAAGTTCTATCAAAATTATCTGCGTGAAAATTAAACGAGAATAACGTGCTGTAAATACTAGACAACTGTCAGTCTTTTCGCACAGCTCTAGTTCACAATCCTCGCCTTTTTGGATATGAAGAGATAAATCACGAGGAAGAGGGGAAAAAGAAATGAGTGAAAAGCGGGGAAGAGAGAGATAGACTGGAAGGGGGAAGAGATTCGTTTTTGTAACTGCCATGCACATATTTATTTTTACTTTCTCGCGTTTAAAAGGGAACTTCTTAAGAGAAAGTTATGTAATGCTGCGCGAAAAACGGTGGGTTTTCGTCAGAAAAACTTATTACAGAGCCCTGGTAACGAAAAAGTAGATAAATCCAGTAGCTAAATTTACAAAAATAACAGCCCGTTTTGCGGGTCCTTGAAACCGAAAAATTGATTGACGGCAAAAATTATGTCCGTCTGCTAAGGAACAACGCTAGCGGCTAAACAGCTCAGCCGATTTTCTCCAAAATTGAGATTCCATAATCGATCTTGATGTCGCGACTACTTTAACTTGAAACCGATATTTTAATTTTGATGGGTACTTTACATGAAGCCCCTGGGACATTTTCAAAAATATGGCGCCATTGATTTTGTTTAAATTTTATTGTTGGATAGTTTAAGAGAATGGCGCAGGTCTCATGTTGATTAAAATCTAGAAAACTGAAAAAATTCAAATTATTTTTGGCGTCTTTCGAACATTTAACTAAAATGTTAAAGATAGAGATATTTTCCCTGAATGAAATCTGTTCTTTAAAGATGGCTTTTGAAGTTAGGTCATGTACAATTTTTCGAAAATTTGATTATTTTTCGCATCATGTTGCATGAAATAAATGCAATTTCGTTTAAATAATTTCTCAGAAACCGGATACTTCGATTTTTTATTAAAGATTGTTCGTGGGTAGTTTGAAGGTCATTTAAGAAAATCAAGCAGGACTCATAATAGTTGAAAACCTTGACTTTTTTGACAATTAAACTTCAAAAAAATTTCGGCGATTTCCTACAACTACAATTATGAAGTTACAATATTTTCAAATTAGGTCATGTTCAATTTTTCGAAAATATTTGAAGAAATTGGGCGTCAATGTTAGTTGAACTGAAATTACTGCGCTTTTTGATTGTAATTTAGGCGTTTTGAGGCAGTTGGATGCTACAAAAGAACGTGTATAGTATTTCATTTTTCTTACTTCATATACTCTCACTCACCCTCGGCGTCTCCGACCCTCTCTCTCTCTCTGCGTCTCTTTCGCTCTGTCCCTTTCAAAAACGTTCAGTTGCAGATTCTGCACGTCTGAGCAGGTTGAGAAGCGCCGGACCAGCAAAGATGAAACAATATTCAAGATCCCATACTGTAAATTACGGTGTGAGAGACGTTTTTAACAGAAAACAATTAGTTTTAAATGCCTTAAAACGCTTCGTTTAAGAGTTATTTAACGATATAGTAAAAAACACAGTGTTGCGATTTGCTACTGACATGCATATTTTGTTTTGTTCTTGGTTCTTTTTTCATGAATATTTCCGATATTTTAATAGTATGCTAATCGGGGCAGTAATGACTCCAACAAATCAGATATAATTAAAATTGGCCCAGTCGTTCTGAAGTTGTAAATGGTGTAACTAACCTGACTTTCTAATGTTTAACAATTCCTAACGCTAGAATCGTAGTTTCCGGTGCTAGAAAGAATTCTCTTAACGAGCTTTGTTATATCAAAGTACAGGAACTTTTGGGGTATGAGAAAGATTTACATCCCGACACAGGATTAGGAACAACAGCGCGTACATTCTCCGGAATGTCACATATCAATATTGACAAAGAACACACAAGATCTCAAATTGCACACAAATATTCCATGTACGAAATCAAAAATACTGTTCACACCATTTAAAAATTGTAATTGCTTACTATTTTCTGGTTCATATATTTCTTCCTATTTCACTATGTTACAACAAATACCCGTGCACGGTAACTATTGCTTGGCCAGCATCGTTTAAATCACAAATATTAATTCCTTAACTGAGGATTGCAACATTATATCCCCTTTCTACACAGAATCTGAGGTTTTAAGCAGAACATGTTATTGGAAGGCTTACTCACTACAATTATTTACAGTTAAATTTTCCTCAAGATTACAAAAAATTGAGGAACAAAGATTAACACAGCTTTTCTCGTAACATTTATCATTAGAATGAGCTGTATTACCAGCGTACAAGGTTCTTTCAATTGCTTTGCCGTCATCTAGTTTTTACGTGAATATGCAAATTTACAATGACAACCTTTCTGTTGCTACGCCAACCATCGTCTGTCGGCTCTTATTAGTTTTACAAAAATTTGTTCTTCCTTTACGGGCGCTCAATGTGCCGCTTGCAAACCGTTTGACCTTGGCCCACTTCCGGCTGCACGGTAGCTTCGCTTCCTCGTAGACCAGCCGTCCGCTATGTCGTTTGAAACGCCGCCTTCCCTCACTCCTCCCACCAGATTCAGGTCCAATCTTCTTTCGTCTCGCCTCTTGACTACGCCCGGCACAGGAATCATCGCCTCTGCTTCTTTCTTCGCCCCTCTTCCTATGCGGCACACCGACGCGTATTTCACTGTCCTCGCGCGTGTTTGCTAACGGCGTTTGTTATCGGTTTTCAGGCGTTCTTTACAACCCTTCTTAATCGTGTAGTTAACAGCAGCTCTACTGACGCCTCTCAACAGCTTACAGTTCTCGCTTTCGCGGACCCTATTCCGACTCGTATTAGCTACTCAACTATTTTCCTGTCTATGCAATTTTTCACTTCGCATTGTTGATCACAGTTCAGGAAGCTGAATCTTTCGCCTGAACAATTACTTCGCACCGTAGTTTCTACAAATTGCGTCTCACAATCCTCACATCTAGCTCTCTACGCACGTTCGAACTCTTCGACGTCGCGTCCAAAACAAATCTGTCCTCTGTAAATAATACCGCTCTGGCAGATACATGATCTCGCATGCCACACGTTCAATAGGGCCATCATTATTTTCAACAGCGCTAATCAATCGTACGCCCTACTTGGAAGCGCCAATTCTTGTAACCACTAAAGCCATCGTGGTCACCCCCAACTCACCTGATTACCTGATTTTTCTTCTCAGATTCAGCGTTGCCCCGGCTGCTCCGTCGGTAGACTCCCTAGAAGGAGGCATGCAATCCAGTTTACCTTAGAAAGGTGAGTAATCAACTCATTTTTTTAAATCTCAACTTTGAATAACAAAATTGTTACCTAGTGTTTCAATTGTTCAATTCAGAATTGTTCCTCTGAACAAATCCTAATGATTTTTCTCCTTACACTGGAAAACAATGTCGTGTGCTCTAGAAGTTGTTTGCCTTTTACCACAAAGGGCTCGATTCCCGTAGAACCTCATGAAAAATTTGTTACGACAAAACGAGTTTGCATGCTTCATAGGGGCTAGTCCAAACCCTGTGAAGCGTTTGAAACCTAACCCCATCCTTATTCCTTCCCAATTCTAGCCAACGGACGACGCAGGGCGCATGTGAGATGCGGGCACGAAAACGCGGCGATTCCCTGACTTGACTTTTCTACAACTCCGGAACGAAAATGTCTATTTTTTCAAATATCTTAACTCGCGCTTTTTTTTAAATTTATTTTTATTTATTTCAAACTTTCACTCATCTTTCAATTATTTATACTTAAAATGACGGGAAGGGATTCTGGAACTCACGAAAACGTGCGCAGTCTTCTCACCCATACGTCACATACAGTTCTACTGTTTTTTTTGTGACTACATCGAAATCTGACTGCGACTGACGTGACTTGACTAACCAGCGGCCCCTAAAGGGTGCTGTGTGTTTAATAATAACGGTGGATTACTCCACGGTGCGCTCAAAGCTTAAGAGTTAGGACACACATTACGTCTATAATAAATAGACGTTGCATTTTTTTTTTTAAATGGTGGGCTGAGAGTTATTGATTAATCAGATCCTTCAATTCACAAAATTTTAACTTTATGAAATTAAGAAATATTACTATTATGAAATATTTTGGGAGATTATTACAGTACACAATTTATTAAATAATTTTTAGAAGACTATTTATGATCAAACAAGCAGATCGACCCATTCTCGTGGGCAATCGACCAACTCTTTTAAAGAAAATAAACAAACTATTGCCTTCTGTTTCATAGATTTTGAATAAATTTATAACTGAATGACAACAGTTAGGCATTGCTAAAAGAATTAGGAACATTATAATGAATAAACAAGTTTTAATTAGGAATGTCAAGGATCTTTATCCATTCTTAGGCATTAACAATACGGATTCTGGTGTACTTTGTAAGACTTGTCCATCAATGAATAACAAAGCT